GGTATGTGAATTTGTCATCTGTGCAATATTTTTGTAAATATGTGTCTGTGCATCGTGAATTCTGTAAACACTTGCATGAAGTGTATGAAGGTATGTTATGTTTTTTAATCAAACTGACAATGTACTGCCATACACAGTTTATGAATTACTGTAATGACAATTTATACATTTTTATTATAAAACTTTGACACGGGGTCTAAGAATACATTCATTAATGTTTATGCTCCAGTTGTTACATTTAATAAAACTTGTCCTGGTCAGCTTGCATGCAAATCCAACATTTTATTTTACACAGGTATTCACATGTTGCAACAATCATTAATGTCAACCTGCTGTCATGGTGTGCAGCACAACAGCATAACCTAACTTTGACCCAAAAAACCCTATCAAAAGGTCCATGTTCTCCTTGGCCTTTCTGGCATGTTTTGGGTATGCAGGATGTTCCTGGACAGGAAAGGATGAGTACATAGGGTGCATCTGTCTCTTCCATGTGCCAGTGTTTGCTTTTGAACATGGTCCAGTCGCCCCTGAACTGTCCAAAGGATGGGTGCTTTGCAGGGCTCAATAGCGGTAAGGAGACTCATGTTGTGGGTCTGGAGCAGACTACACTGGTTGTACTGAAGCCTGATAGCCAACAGCTGCAGCAAGTACTTGAACAGCTCCTTCCGCTGAGCTCTATCTTCGTTCCACAACTGGCTAACGTGCTCCATGAGAATCTGTCTGCCATTCTCTCCTGGTATGGTGCAGCCTCTCTCTCATCCTACAAGCATCCTCCTCTTTTTGGTAGCTGAGCTGGATTTCCAGACCTGGATCTTTTGATTCTTTTTGTATTGGGCAGCTCTCTTATCAGCTCATCTTAGGCTCTCTTCCTCTGGAGTACATGGTCTGCAGACCCAGGCTCCTGGTTCCATGTGTTATTCCTGTGAAAGAGACAGAGAACATTTTCTGAACATGGTAAAAAAAATACATTTCACTGTTTATTAAAGGGATTATTACTTTCATTCATGGTCAAAAGATGCATGATTTTTAATCAATGGGCTGTATTCTATTTTATTCACACAAAACATCATCCATTCCAGACCATGCATTTCACTGAAACTGCAATGAAAACCAAAAGACATGTCATGAGAAACATTACTCAAAACTCAACTGCAAGAAGCACAAAACTCAATTTTAATAGATTCTGCATCCTCTTTTTCTTGGGTGGAGGTAGGAAGAGACATATGAGTGATTTAATTACAAGCAATGATTGCTCAACCCTGTCAGGCAGGGCAAGCTCTGGACAAAACTGACAACCATCTGTACTAAGAAGCTATTTCAGCATCTAGTGATGAATACTACATTTAACAAGAAACTGAATGTGAGTGGAGATGCAGTAGAACAGTGGTCACCAACCAGTAGTTTGGGATCTACTGGTGGATCTTGGAGCCTCTGACAGGTGATCCTGACTGGTTTGGCCAAGAGGCGATCAAGTGCCAGCACTTCAACTGCCCCTCTCCCTACTGCTACACATTTCTTGCCCTTTGCCTTGGAGCTGCCTCCCTCCACTTCTAGGAGCCTCCTGCTTGTTAGGCAGGGCAGGGCAGGGCAGGGCAGGGAGAAGAGAAGCACTGATATCAAGGTGCCCCCTCTCCTACCCTGTATCCTATGTCCACAGAACAGAGAGGGGGCACAACAGGGCTTGGGATGAAGGGGGTTTGCTGGCTGCTTTTGAGAGTGGTGCAGGGGGGCCAGGGCAGGGGTGAGCCTGCCTTAGCCCCACTGCACCACCACCCAGGAACAGCCTGAGGTAAGCAGTGGCCAGCTGGAGCTCACATCCTGAAACCCTACCCCAGTCATGAACCCCCCCTGCACCCCAAGCCCCTGCTCTAGCTCTGAGCACCCCTGCATCCAAGCACCATCCCAGAGCCTGCACCTAGAACCCCCTCTGGCACTCCAACTGCCTGTCCCAGGCTCAGCTCAGAGCCTCTCTCGCACTCAAAATCCCTTAGCCCAACACCAGAACCTGCACCCCAACCCTCTGCCCCAACATGCTGAAAGAGAGGGAGGATGGAGGGAAGATGGAGTGAGCAGGGGCAAGGCCTCGGAAAAGGGGCACAAATGAGGCAGGACAAGGGTGTTTGGGTTGAGGTAGATCTTGGATTGCACTTAAATTAAAAAAGCAATCTTGTGGCTAAAAAGGTTGGAGACCACTGCAGTAGAGCTTCCCTGTTAGCACCTTTCATCCATGCAAACACACCTGACTCATTGCCACTCATTGGGAGTCACAAGACTGACTCATTTTGCTGCATTTTGGACTCTCATGTTAAAGCCAGCAATGGACCAAACACACACACTGCCTAAGATTTTGTTTGGACTCTCAGTAGCCAAGTTGTTTGGGAATTGACTCAAAGGCATTAGGGAACAGTTTGTGTACAGCTCATCTGTAAGATGCACTGTATTACATGTGAGGCTGTCAATTGTTGAGCACCATCCCAATACATATACCAGTCAGCGAGTAAAAATGTAATAACTGGTTAATAATTTTTCCTCATTTGACTGTGTCCATTTTGAATCCAATGTGGCAATGTGAATAAGGCAGGATGTGGGAGGAGGGCCCTGAGTAGAATGGTTTAGGTCTCTCCCTAAATGAAACACACAGAAATCTTGGGTTGCATTAATTTAATAGGCTCATAAGCTGGAAATCCTTTCCATCCATATGCAAATAAAAACAAACATGGCAGCAGAAACTTACCAGGCTTTGGTGCTTGTTCTGATGCCAGTTCTGCAGAAGACTGCTCCCACAGGGCTGTCCCTGAAGAAGTCCTCCGAGTACACAATGTGCTGTAGCTGCTGCACCATGGCCTCTTCAGTTATTGGCCTCACTGCCAGTGTGACTTCTTGCCCTTTATCTGGCAGCTGGCTCTCCTCCGCTGGTGCCTGTAACAGGAGTTATAAGGTCGCCATTGTCACTCAGCAGTGTCATGCACCACTGGGGCTCAGTGTAATTCCTAGTACATAGCCACAGTCCTTGTAAAGGAGACAGGAAGACAGGAGAGTTCCCAGAGGTGCAATTAGCATTCTTGACTTTCTGGTAGTTTGTCTCAGCCTCTTGATCCACCCTCTGCATTGATCTGCCATCCAGTTGATCTCCAAGGCTGCCAGTAGCTCATATATTGTTTTATACCCATGATTATTTCTTATGCTTTTACTGAAGTCAAATGTCTTGCTTGCCTCACGTCAGAGGTTAATTAGAATATGTCTGTGTTCCTCTGGCCGGCTAGTCACGCGCTTGATGCAGGACTTCATCTTGCTGCTGGCCACAGCAAATATACACGAGTTCTGACTGTGTGTGTTGTTTCCAGGTGAGCAGTTGAGATGGAAATGAAAGTTTAATCATCACACAGCTATTTTTAAACAAGGAGGTTGTTTCCAGTTCCTGGGAAGCAAGTTTGAAAGTGGCAGGCTGGGAAGCACAGCACCTGGGGATTCAGGGTTACTGTGGCAGACTTTCCAGACACAAGTCTGATGACCCAGACTTGAGCTATGTCCATACTGCAAAATATTTGGGCTCTCAATCATATCACAGAAGGATACAGGCTTTGACCAACCCCAGCTGCAAAGTCCGCTGGTCTGAGTAAGAGAGTTGGCTCAAGCCGAACTAACTTTTGCATAAGTGAAAGTAGGATTTGATGTCAAATCTAAATCTGAGACAAAGCTTAGCATGCTATGTAGACATACCGATAACAGACCGCACAGAATAAAAATACATTTGCATATACTAGCATGATAGACTATACCCATGTCCATACCCTATACAACACTGTATTAATATTTACATAAGATAGGTCTTGTAAGGTATCATTTGAAAATTGAAATTTGCTGACCAATATTGTCCTGATAAAATGTGTGGCAACAGTCTATGTGAAGTTTTTCCTGTACAATATTATCAACACATATGCCAAAGTAAGGCTGGCAAACAGGTCTGCCTCAAACAAAAGAACATGTGTTCTGCTTAATTTGTATTTAAGCAGTAAAGATTCATCAAGCAGGAAGGGAGTTCAAACACGTGGGAAAATTGGCAGGGAATATCTTTACACACAGTTTTCTGAATCTCAGCTGAAAATGGTTTTTCAAAAGGGGGGAATGACACTAACAAGAAGGAATAAACACCCCAACAGCCCTCTCTTCCCTTTCTATCCATCAGTTCATCACATGAGAAGGGTCAAAGAAAGCAGCCATTAAACAGAAGACAAGGTCCTGCTCTATGAAGTTTGGCCTGTAAGACTGCCAAGAAAAACTTTGCTTTAAATTTAATAGCTAGGCACTACCTTTATTATGCTTGTGACTATTTCCAAATTTTGCCTCATTATTTATATTCCATTCAAATCTCTCTTGTAGTTAATAAAACTTATTTTACTGTTTTATCTGATCCAGTGTGCTTAAACTGAAGTGTCAGATGAACTATTTGAAATAATAAATTGGCACATTATCTTAAAGTAGTAACAAATGTAACATACTTGTATTGCCTAGGTCATAGGAGAAGGCTGGGCAATGTAAGACAGATTTCTGGGAGAAAATCTAAGATTGGGAGCAAGTTGAGGTCACCCTACGCTATACCCAAATCTGGTAAGAGCTAGCATGTGGCTTGCTGGATGCAGCTCACACACAAACAGAGCTGGAAGTGACTTACATGCTGTATACTGTGTACATCACTCCACATTGGAAGCTGCAGCAAAAAAGCAATGTAAAGAGCACTCTGGGCAAGAAGGCCAGAGCTACTCATTAGTATAGATTGTACCACAGCTCCAGCTACCGCCAAACTAAGTGGGTAGAGTTAAACCAGGAGAGGGAGCACACTGATGGATGGACACTTGTCTAGGAACAGTTCTTTTTCACCTACTTATGATGGGTGACAATAATAAAGTACTCAAGAGCACAGCTCCTGGGCTCCTGAATACCCAAAGACCTTCTGATCACTGCCGGCTAATACTTGTCCTCTACTGAGATTTTGCTCTTACCGTATGCTTCTTCAATAAGAGCACAGTAGGGGTTAATGCCAGTGCCACTGCGCTTGGCTTCCTGCTCTCCAAGCCTCAGGATGTTCTCCAGTCCATTCAATGCCACTTGTACAATCTTTGAGTCCATCACTGTAAGGAGGTCACACAGCGGTTTGATACATCCTAGGTCTACCAAATATCTGAAAAACACCACACACAAATATGGTCAAACATTTGGATTAAGAATGAGTAGTCCTGTGGCACCTTAGGGTACATCTACACAGCAATGTTATTTCAGAACAACATAGTCTGCGTCTACACTACAAGCATTTATTTCAACAATGTCAAAATAATGTTGAGCTGGAGGACTTCTTACTCTGATTCCTGTAACCCTCATTTTACGAAGAGTAAGGGAAGTTGGAGGAAGAGTGCTCTTCCTTCAACGTCCTGGTGTGTAGACAGCACCAAATGCAGCTAACTTCAGCTACGCAACTGACATAGCTCAAGTTGTGTAGCTGATTTCAGCTTTAGCCTGCTGCTTAGACATGACTAACAGAGCCTGCCTTGGCCTAATTTCATTGCTTGCCTACAGTGAAGACACACGCTAGTTCGAATTCGTTAAATAGGGAGTTCTTAAGTCAAATTTAGTCATTTTGAAGTAGCTTCCTAGTGTAGACATTTGGCCTTCAAGACTAAGTATATATATTTGTTAGTCACTAAGGTGCCACAGAACTACTCATTTTTAAAATTATAGACTAACACAGCTACTCCTCTGAGACAAATTACACAGGTTACCTTATCCATACAAGTGCAGAGGATTGAACAAAAACAGCTAGGTAGGACACTAACTCGGGTACAGGCAGTCCCCAGGTTACGTACAAGATAGGGACTGTAGGTTTGTTCTTAAGTTGAATTTGTATGTAAGTCGGAACTGGTACATATTGTAGGGGAAACTCTAGCCAAACATTTTTTTTAGTTTTGGATAGCATAGGGAAAGGTTAACTCCCCTCTAATGTTTGTTTTGCTGTCTGTTCCCCTGTTCAGAAGATTTCACATCTATTTCTGTCCCTGTGACAAACTCAGGACTAAAAGAGTAACTCATCAAATACCAAACAGCTCTGCACCATGCTTTGAGCTAATAGCTTTATTTCCACACACCACCCAGGGTTCTAGGAGGAGGGTCCTTTTTTTGCTAACACAATGAGGCCAGCACTTTGTTTGTTTTGGTGGAGTCTTTGTTTGCCCAGGGAGCCCAGCATGTATAGGGGGAGGAGGGGCGGAGAGGCTGCTTTTGTCTGCTGTTCGGCAGCCTGTTGCTCAGGGGAGGGGGCAGCGGGCGTGGGGAGGCACTTTTCCTCTGCCCGGCAGCTCTGCGGGA